GATTTGTTTGGTGAGCAAAACATTGCAGCTAAAGGAGTTAGTGGCTGTGCCAAGGTTATTTAACACAGTATCACGTCAGTGACATCTCGTCAGGTTGACCATTGACTGCATCATCAGATCACGCCAGCTGTGTGCTGGTGATTGGGCAGGAAACAATTCCATTATCATGGTATGGAACATGGGCAATAAAGTCACGTTAGAGAATGCTGAGAGATAAAGAGATTAATTTTGCATGCTTAGAATTTGAGACATTTATGGAGTCTCCTGGTGGGGCTTGCAATTTGCAAATAGGGTGTGATGACAGAAAGTCTGATGAAGAGAGGAGTGAGAAGTCTGGGAGTGTTACAACAAGTAGAAATCACACCGTATTAATCTTTAAGATTAATCAGGTAGAAGTCTTTTTCTTTTTTTATGTATTTATTTATTTGACAGGGAGAGAAATCACAAGTAGGCAGAGGTATGCAGAGAGAGGGGGAAACAGTCCTCTGCTGAGCAGAGAGCCCGATGCGGGGCTCGATCCCAGGACCTTGAGATCATGACCTGAGCCGAAGGCAGAGTCTTAACCCACTGAGCCACCCAAGCACCCCAGAAGTCTTTTTAATATACATTTTTATAAAAAATAAATGCCTTTTTGTTGTTATTTCTTGGGGTTGTCTTTAACTTTTTGGTAACAAGTTTATTGAGATACAATTCATACACTATGTGTATACATTTCATACATACCAATTCATACATTGGTAACAAGTTTATTGAGATACAATTCATACACATACCCATTTTTAAGTGTACAATTCACTGGTTTTCATATGTTTGCCAAGTTGTACAACCATTACACAGACAATTTTGGAAAAATTTCTTTACCCTCAAAATTAGCCCTCCATCTTTTAGATATCACCCCTCAGTCCTCCCTCACCCTGCCCCCATTTTCTCCAGCCCCAGGAGATGCAACCCTAGGCATTTACTACTCTGTCACTATACATCTGTGTATGCTAGAAGTTTCATAGGAATGGAATTACATGGAGTCACATAAATGGAATAAATGTGGTCTTTTATTACTGCCTTCTTTCACTTAGCATAACATTTTTAAGGTTCTAGCAATTTGTAGCATGTATCCATACTTCATTTCTTTAATATGGATGAATAGTATGATATTGTATGAATATACTACATTTTATATATCAGCTAGTACGTGCTTGGGTTGTTTCCACTTTTTCACTATTAAGAAAAACGCTGCTTTGAATATTCGTGAACAAGTTTTTGTATAGACATTTTTTTAGTTCTCTAGGGTGCATACCTAGGATTGGAATGTCCCCTTTGTATAGTAACTCTATGTTTATTTTTGTGGGAACTCCCATATTCTTTTATAAGGAGGCAACACCATTTTACATTCCTTCAGCAGTGCATGTGGGGTCCAGTGTCTCAGCATCCTTGCCAACACTTATTATCATCTTCCTGCTGGATGTGAAGTAATATACCACTGTGGCTTCTATTGATTTGTGTTTTTCCCTGATAACTAATCTCATTGAATGTCTTTTCTTGTACTTACTGGCCATTCATTTTTTTTAAAAGATTTTATTTATTTATTTGAATGAGAGAGGGAGAGAGAACAAGTAGGGAGAGTGGAGGAGGGAGAAGCAGACTCCCCACCAAGCAGGGAACCCCATGTGGGCCTTGATCCCAGAACCCTGGGATCATGACCTGAGCAGAAGGCAGATGCTTAACTGACTGAGCCACCCAGGTATACCTTACTGGCCATTCATAATCTTCTTTGGAGAAATGTCTATTCACAAACTGTGTCAATTTTTACATTAGATTATCTTTTTATTATTTAATTGTAAGTGCTTTTATATCCTCTAGATACAAGTCCCTTATCAGACATATGATTGATTGTACTGACAATTTGGGCTAGATAATTCTTTGTAGCGGGCAGTGGCTGAACTGTTCATTACAAGATGTTTAGCAACACCCCTCCAAATGCCAAAAACATGCTCCCCAACCCCAAGATGCAGCAATCAAATGTCTTTCTAGATGTCACCAAATGTCGCACCAGGAAAATCACTGATGGTTGGGAACCAATGTTTTAAGGGAATCTAGAATCCTTTTATATAGCTTGAGCTAATTGGAACTACGTGATTAATGTCAGAGTGGGTTAATAACACCACAGTTAGTTTGTGTTAAGAAATCAGCTCCCTATGAGCAATATATTTCAAAAATTTAAGGGAAAAACAATATTCTATGAAATTTCAGTTTCCTTCAACAAATGTCTTAGTTTCAAGGTTAAAAATCAATAGTCCCTGAGAGTTTAAAGATTTTTACACTTTTTAACTCCTATGGAGAAGCTCTTTGCTCCTTTTCACCAAACAGACTTAGAAATTCAAAATTTAAAACACCAAGACATAATGTAAGTATAGTTTTAACTTAAATTTTCCATTAATAGGTTTTTAACTATTTGTTAATTTTTTCCTTACATAAGGAGATTTAATAGCTAGTTCAAGGATAATCTTAGATCACCTTATTAACAAAATTCCATTCTTTAAAAATTCTTTGTTCAAACCGCTAGAAGAGTCTTATAATATTTGCTTAGGTTACATTTTCTAACCAAGGCTAAATTTAAAAAATATAGGCTTTATCCATTTCGAGTTTATCTTTGTGTATGGTGTAAGAGAATGGTCGAGTATCATTCTTCTACATATAGCTGTCTAGTTTTCCCAGCACCATTTATTGAAGAGACTGTCTTTTTTTCCACTGTATATTTTTTCCTGTTTTGTCAAGGATTATTTGACCATAGAGTTGAGGGTCCATATCTGGGCTCTCTACTCTGTTCCACTGGTCTATGTGTCTGTTTTTATGCCAGTACCATGCTGTCTTGGTGATCACAGCTTTGTAGTAAAGCTTGAAATCAGGTAACATGATGCCGCCAGTTTTATTTTTGTTTTTCAACATTTCCTTAGCAATTCGGGATCTCTTCTGATTCCATACAAATTTTAGGATTAAAGACCTCAACGTGAGACAGGAATCCATCAGAATCCTGGAGGAGAACATAAGCAGTAACCTCTTCGCTATCAGCCACGGCAAGACAAGATACGTCTTGAAAGACGTATCTTTCAAGATATGTCTCCAAAGGCAAAGGAAACAAAAGCGAAAAT